TATTGCCCCCACAAACTGGGTCCTCAATTTACCTATCTTAGAAAGGATGGAAGGCTGAGTCAACCTTGAGCCTGGTGAAATTTGAATTTACAGTAATTGCAGACAGCTGGTGTTAATCACAATGCTATCAGTCTGCTGAGCCACCAGGCCCTTTGTATAAGAAATCCCTACAGAATTAAACAATATCAAAATTATTGTGTCCATCCCTCAAGGAAATATAGACATATTAATTTATCCCATTCTTAACAGAAATCTAAGTCAGAAGGAGAGGGTGCGTAGTGTATTACAGAAACTAATAGAGCAATTAAATAATATCACATGGACAAAAATTATTTAGAATCCTTTACTTTTCCCATACAGTTCTCAGCATGCAAGATTGTTGCTCAGGAACCATACTGGACCCAGTTAGTTTAAATGCAAATAGAATTTTTTTCTGTATCAGAAATAGGGAGAAAATTAATATTTTTAGATTTCAGCTCCCATTGTCCACAACTGCTGATTAACAGTCATGGTGTTCACAATAAATCCATGTGAATATAGCATTTATTTTCTCCCTTACATTAGGTATTCTTGATCTTATTGCTTCTAAAAATTTGTACTGGCCCTAATTTAGATTTGCCCTTTAGTTTTCAAACGATAAGCAACTCTTGCCAAATAGTTATTTTAATCTGCCACTAGATAACATCCAAATCAAATAATAGAGTTTCTGGCACCTTAAAGACTAACAAGTGAATTACTAAGTTAAAAATTATATTCCAGTTTAAAGTGTATGCAATAATAGATTTCTTACCATGTTTCCCCATAAACAAGACCCTGTCTTATATTTTTTTGAACCCTGAAATAAGCGCTTGGCCTTATTTTCAGGGAGGCCTTATTATTTTGGGGCGCGTGGAACAAGATGGGGCTCCTCTTGCCATGTTACCTGACTTCCAGCTCCATCGTGTTTCTCGCCATTGTGTGCAGGGAAACAAGTTGTACTGAAAAAAAAACTTATTGCAAGTTTGAGAAGTTGGAATTAATTGATTGAACTCGCGAGAATGTTATTTTTACGGTACAACTTGTTTCCCTGCACACAATGGCGAGAAACACGATGGAGCTGGAAGTCAGGTAAGACAGCAAGATGAGCCCCATCTTGCTCCATGCGCCCCAACAACAGCCTGGCTGTTTCCCTTCCCCGCCGTCTTTTTATCAAGTGGGGTGGCAGGTGGGGAGGGGTGGGGCAGGGGAGAAGCGAGACACATGGAGCAAGATGGGGCTCCTCTTGCCATCTCTTCTCCCCTCGCCGGGCATGTCAGGGCTTCCTGCCCCTCGCTTAGCCATCCGCCCCCTTTATCGATGCAATTTGGGGGTGGCAGGTGGGGAGCGGTGGGGCAGGGGAGAAGCAAGATGTGTGTCTTACCTGACTTCTAGCTCCGTCACGTTTCTCACCATTGTGTGCAGGGAAACAAGTTGTAAAAAAAAAGTCTCACGAGTTCGAGAAGTTGGAATTAATTGATTGAATTTGCGAGAAGTTTTTTTTTTTACGGCACAACTTGTTTCCCTGCACACAATGGCAAGAAATGCAACAGAGCTGGAAGTCAGGTAAGACACGCGTCTCGTTTCTCCCCGCCCCACCCCTCCCCACCTGCCACCTCCAACTTGCATCAATAAAGGGGGCGGGTGGCTAAGCGAGGAACAGGAAGCCCTGCCATGCCCAGCAAGTGGGGGAGAAGGGATGGAAAGAGGAGCCCCGTCTCATTTCTCTCCCGCCCACCCCTCCCCACCTGCCACCCCCACCTACCACTCCCCCTCGCTGGCCGAGATCAGCAGGCCAGATTTGGTGAGCTGAACACACCACAGAGGAAAAGAATGTGAGAAATGGGGTCTCTCGCAGCGCCTCCTCTCTCTCTCTTCCTCCTGAGTGGTGGCAATGCATCCAGGTCACCGAATCTGGCCTGCTGATATTGGCCAGCAGTGGCTCTGACCCTATCATAGCCGGCAATGCTGTGGGCAAGAACTGGCCACGCCGATCCCGCTTCATGGCTGTGCAGACAGCGCCCGCACCAGCCGCTGCTCAGAGCTCTGGCACCAGTCCCCTCCCCCCCAGTCGCGGGTCAACAGGGCTAGGGCTGGCAAGAGTGCTGGTCCTGCCACTCTTTTTGCGGCCGCCACTAAGAGAAGGGGCGCGGTAACTAGGTTTTGCTGTAGCGGCCTCCATGAGGCCATTCTGTGTGAATGGCAGGTGCGTGTGGGGTGCGTGGGGCATGTTCCTCCCCGCTTTTTCCACCTCGCTTCACCTCATGCTGTTTGCATGGGAAGCAACGAGGAGGTCAGAAACACATGGGGCGCATCGCTGGACCTCCTGTGTTTTTTGCAGCTGCAAAAGCGGCCACGGTTGCTGGAGGCGGAGGCTTGAGCGGCACCAGCGAAGCAGCTGCTTCATGAACAGTGGGATGGCCTGCTGTGACCATCGCACTGTTACTGTAGGTAAAAGGAGGGCGCGAGGTGCATTGCTGGGCCTGCCGCTCTTTTTGCAGCCGCCACTAAGAGAAAGGGTGCAGTAGCTAGGATTTGCGGTAGCGGCCTCCGCAAGGCCATTCTGCATGGAGGCAGGTGCGTGTGGGATGTTGTCCCCTTCCCCCCCCCCGAGAAAATGGCAAGGACCGGCTGCGCAGGCACTTCAAAGGCCTTATTTTGGGGGGAGGATTTATTTTAGTGCATGCGCTCAAAAGCCCAATTAGGTTTATTATCCGGAGAGGTCTTAGTTTCAGGGAAACACGGTAATTGTTATGTATCATACAAATGAGCATTTTTTTTTTTGCTTTTACTTGAAAGGCTAAGTTGGTTACTCCTTTCTCATTTCCTACATGTTCTGGTGCAACACATCAGAAGATCAACATATATAATCTTATCTTATTCAAGTTTGGAACCATATTTCCAATACAGAGACAGACCAACACTTGTAAACAGCTAGACTAATTTTCTCTGCCCTCATGAATTCTAGTACTGGTATTTTGTATTACAATTACCACAATCCTTAGCTACCTATGTATATTAACTATATGTGATATATAAATTGCATTTACGTTGAGTATACAAAGTTGAGGGAAATTCATGTGCCTTCTTCAGAGTTGCATGAACAGACTTCTTTATCAAGGTATCTCCCATTTTAGGGTTTTGCAAAACATTTTTTAAAAAAACATTTCTTAAAAGATGAAACCCTAACAGGAAAAAAAAGATGCAAGAGTAACACTATCATCTTTCTACTGGAATAGATGTAGACTCAACACTGGCCTACAATCCACATTTCAATAATCATATATAAATCTATATTTTTTCCTCAGTTATCTAAACAACAACATCTATTCCCCATTCAAAAGACCATTACAATGTATAAAAATGGCAAGACCTTTTCCTGGAGTATTCAGATATTGATGCATCTCCAAGGCCTTGGCTCTAGAAAGAGGGGGGTATGCAGGATTTAAGGTCCTTTGGGAGATTCTGGCTTCCTTCAGTTAGTAGATTTGTTTTCTACTTTTAAGCTAACAATTTCTAACTCTTTTTCCAACTCAGCCAGAGGCAGCACAAACCAACAAATCACAACTGCAAGGAGCAACTCTTTGTTTTCATTCCTCTATCTTTTCCTTCTATGTATTCATGGCGATAGAGTTCTAAATAACTGCCCCAACCCAGGCAATCAGATGTCAGTAGAAACTGTCACCATTACTGCCTTTCATTTTTCAAACTGAGAAAAGGAAAGCCTTCCCTTGATCATTGACTTGCTCTTTCTTTCTAGACACAAAACAATTGGGGGACTGGTTCAAGCCCCAACTTCCATGGTGTCCCTAAGAGTAAAAAAGCTTTGCCAGACCACCTGGGCCATCCCCTTTCCGCAGAACTATTGAGAGGCACAAAATAAGTAAATTCCAGCTCCATTTACACACAATAGGAGATACCATAGTATCAGAGGTTGTTTCACATCTTAACTGCTTGCCTACCTTTGAGTGAAAGGACCATTTATATGATGCCTAAATGAGAAGTATATAAGTGAGTAACTGAACTGCTTCCAGGTGATGGATAAGAATTATGGGAACTGTTACCTTTCAACATGCTTGGAGTCTAAATGGGATGGCTTAACTGCCAATTCTATTGATGCTACTGCGAATCAGCAGCTAGGATTGTTCCCCATCAACTTTCTCCCTGCAACAGGAAGTACCAAGACAACACTAGACTGGATTAAAATGTTCTGGTTTGCTAAATCAATCATATTGTCAGGCCTTGCAGAACAGATAAACTGTCCATAAACTATCCACAAGGGTGCACACAAAGGGCTGAATCTTAGCCTAGTTGTGTAAATCCAGTCTTAAGGGCCAGAAAGGTGAAGGACAACTCTACAAAATTATCTCCAATCAATGACCTATAGCCATGATGGCGAACCTATGGCACGCGTGCCGCAGGTGGCACTTGGAGCCATATTGGTGGGCACATGAGGTCCCACCAGAAGTTGGCAAACAGGCCGTTTCCAGCCTCCAGAGGGCCTCCAGGGGGGTAGGGAAGGCCGTTTTTGCCTTCTCTAGGAGTCTGGGGGGAGCATAAAATGGGCCTACTGGGCCCACCGGGCCATCGTGTGCCAAAAGCGGGGGGAGCCCAGGGCGGCATGCATGAATGTGCAGGGGGCAGGGTGCATAGAATTATGGGTGTGGGCACACACACAGGCAACTTCCCCCGCTTTTGGCACGCAATGGCAAAAAGGTTAGCCATCACTGACCTATAGTCTCCATCCACACAGCTCAGAAGCCAGGATCAGGCTGCAGAAGTCGACCGGAGAGATGGAAAGCGGAGACGTTTATGGGGAAGGGAACCATAGTGCTGAAGACTTAGTTCTAGTATCCTCTCCAGCGCCTCTATTTAGGGGGCTCAGCAGGGAAACCCTGAGCACCTCCTAGCACCGGAGATCCGCGCCTCAGACTCGTTGCCAGTGCCCACCCCACCCCCCACAGCAGAAAAGCGCCTGTACTCACAGCTGTACCGTCCTGCTGGGAAACAGCACGGGGAGTTCTCTCAGTCTGAGGCGGCTGCAATCCAGTCGTTCCCCCAGACAGCGGCAAGGAGCCGGGCATTCTTGGGCCAGTCCTGAGAAGAATAGACTGCAGCAGAAGAGCAGGAGTCCTAAAAGTGGCGGCGGCGGCTGTAGCACCCAGCGGTACACACAGGAACCCATGTCCGAAGCCCCTCGCGCGTTCAGCACCTGGGGCTTTCGGGCTGGGCGAACGGAGTGAAGTCAAGGCAGGGATCTGCCACTCTCAGGGCGCTGGGAGGTGTCGTTTCATTCCCTCCCCCACCCCCCCACCCCAGCAAATCTGCGGCCAAGTCTCCTCACCGTCCAACCAACTCTACTCGTTCGCCAAACTTTCTGCCGCTTCCCAGCGCCTGCCCTGACCGGCCGAGTCCGCCCCCTGCCATGTGATAACAACAAAACGGCGGGGCGGGGCGGATTGACTGGGGAAAGACGGGGGCGCCCAAGGGAAGTTTACTTCTGGCCGGGAAGGGGGGGCGGCGATCGGACGGAACGTTTTGCAGGCAAATGCTGCTCGAACAAAAGCCGCGGAGCCATCTCAAGCCAAAGGAAGAAACTCAGATCCTCTTGTGCAAACGTACCAAACGTGCGCACAAAGAAGGTGACAGGGAAACTGAAGGTCCAGTCAATCTTAATGATCTAATCAATATATTGATTTTAGTAAAGATTTGAATTTTAAGACACACAAAACCAGGCACCACATAAATACTACACATGGAACAGTCCAGCGTACACATTCTGGAGAGAAAAAAGTTCCCCGAGGATGAGATCCAGCAGGAGTCCAAAAGCTTATAGACCAAAACTCTGGTCCTGGTGACCTAATCAGATTGGATCCTGCAAAATTTAAATTATTCAACATCTAAATACAGGTCATTCAATAGCAGTTGAATGATAAGTGCTCTTTCTGCTGGTATGAACCTGGGCTTGATTGGAAAGTTTTAAAACATCACAGCATTTCTTATCTTGAGTGTTGGCAAGGCAATGACTCATGAATAAGTGTTAATAGAGGCATTAAAACATTCACTTTAACATTCAAGAAAAGGAACTGGGCTTCAAAGGGCCTTAAATTATTGAGAATTTAACCTAATTAAAAAAAACCAAGAATACTAGAAATAAACTGCTCTTTTATTTGTATTTAAAAAATAATTTATATCAATGGGTAATATAATAAACTAAATGTATATTTTTAACATAAGGGGTTGTTACCATACAAAAGGATTTAATAACTTGGTTCTGTTCAGAATCTGATGGAACAGTTTATGCTACACTCAAAATAAACTTTTTTATACTCTAAAGCAGCTTTTCCTGAACAGAATATTACAGATGTCTACAATTTTCATCACTTAAAAACATCTTGGATCATATTGAACTGGGAATTATAAAAGTTGTAACTCCCAACTTGTAGTTTGGATCCCCAGGTCCAACCGCGAAGACTAAAACCACGCCATGTTCCCTTGGCGTTGCGTCCAAAGGTGGACACAGAATTGGACAAACTCATTGCACAGGGCGTCCTAGAACCTGTTGATTACGCCCCCTGGGAGACCCCAACCATCATCGCCATTAAGGCGGATGGTCCAATCCGAATCTGTGCAGACTACCGGGCTACTATTAATCAGGCATTGTTGTCACATGCTTATCCCGTTCCGGTAGTGCAGCATTTGCTACATTCCTTGGGAAGCGGGTCAGTCTTTGCCAAGTTAGATTTAGCACAGGCATACCAGCAGTTGCCTGTGGATGATGAGACGGCCACTGCACAGACCATTGTCACGCATCGGGGAGCCTTCCGATGCCGCCGCTTGCAATTTGGCGTGAGCGTAGCCCCGGGAATTTTCCAAAGTTTGATGGAGAGGCTCCTCCATGGAATTCCCGGAGTGCTACCATATTTTGACGATGTGCTGGTCTCTGCAACCAGCACATCTCAGCTGATGGACCGCCTTCGTTGTGTCCTGTCCAAATTTAGGAGTGTAGGACTCAAAGTTAAGAAATCTAAGTATAGCATTGCTGTACCTCAAGTTGAATTTTTGGGGTTCTTAATCGATCAGCAAAGGATGCGCTTGGCCGTATAGGCCCGGGTGCACGGCCGGAGCGTTTGGTTGAGTATATGATAGTGCAGCACACGACACCCTGCCCGGTCACGAACCGGAGCCCCGCAGAGTTACTTATGGGCCGGCGTTTACGGACCGTTTTGGATCGCTTGCATCCTCTATATGCCCCTAGTAAACCTCTGGACTCCCATAGTACAACCAGACCCTTCGGGGTGGGGGATTCAGTTTATGCCAGGAATTATGGGGGTTCACCGTTGTGGATTCCCGGACGGGTGATAGATGTAACCGGGCCATGTTCTTATAAAATAGATATGGGTCAAGGTAGAGTCTGGCATTGGCACCAGGATCAAATCAGGGCTAGGAAGGTGCCGCCTACCGAGCTTAGTGAACAGACGGACAGGGGTATGGATAGGGTTGAGCCGGGGTTTGGGGACACCCATTCTTCCGATTGGAATAACGAACCGTGCAATCCAACACCTACCAGTAGCAGAGGGGCAGTTCGAGAATACTCACCCAGGGTACAGGAAGACAGTCCAGGGCCAGCGCATGTTGATCCAGTTGAAGATCGGTCTGTGGAAAGTCCTAGGGGTAGGAATGTCCCTGTCCAGCCAGAACACCTGCCTAGGGCGAGCCCGAGGCGCTCAGGGCATCTCCGACATCGACCCGCATACCTCGAGGATTATGCATGCACCATTCCAGCGGAAAGGGGTGTTGTGTTCTGAGCATGCTCAAGAGAATTGGCCCCTGTGGGGATCCTTTATAATGTTGGATGTTCCTATTGATTAAGCCGTCTGACAGTTGGTATAAAAGAGCTGTCAGGCTGAGTTCGAGGTTCTTCGTATTGTACTTCTTCTGAATTGTGTTAGAGCTGTATCTGTGAGGTAAATAAATACTTATTGTTATAATCCACCTCTGTAATTCATCGTCTGCTCGAGAACACACCACAACTGATTTGGAGGGCAACAGATTTAAGAAGTATGGAATGAAAACTGAATTACGACATGTGACAAGTTTACATCATTTGTCATATTGTTGTATTGTAATTATATAAGGACAGGGGAGGCCAGGAAGTTGACATTTGAATAGTTTAATTTACTCATTGGAGGATAACAATGTTTCATATTCAGAAATATAAGTAATTCTATTAAAACAATATTTTAAAAATCAATTTCCAGATTTGCAGTTGTCAAGAAATAGTTTTAGCCTGATTAATTCAATCTGTATGGCATAGTAGATAAGGATGTTGATGATGTCCTCATTTCCTCCAATGTTCAGTTCCATGAACACAACCAATTAAAATGTTCAATAAAATTTTGATAAGTAATTGTATTTTATTTTGTTTTAATTATTTTTCAAAAGAGTTCGTGTTTTGAAAAACTCTGGTCCTGGAACAATTGCAACCTTGAAAATACATAATGGGTACCTACGAGACCGTCTTTTTCCACCAATAGCCTCCCACCGACCAGTTCGTTCTCACAGGGAGGGACTACTCAGGGTACCGTCAGTCAAATTATGCCGACTGGCGACTCCCAGGGGGAGGGCCTTCTCTGTGAGGGCTCCAACCCTTTGGAATGAACTGCCCCCTGAGTTACGAAATATCCCTGATCTCCGTGCTTTCCGCCATGCCCTCAAAACCCTGATGTTCCAACAAGCGGGGCTAAACATATGAACATGTGAATGTTTTTAAAATGTTATCTAATTTTAGGTTCTATTTAATTAGGCCAAGCTATGTTATAATAATAATTTTAATTAGCAATTTTATGATGTTTTGTGTATCTATATTTTTCTTGACCGTACACCGCCTTGAGTCCTACGGGAGAAAGGCGATATAGAAATATAATAAATAAATAAATAAATAAATAAATAAATAAATAAATAAATAAATAAATAAATAAATAATGGTGACAGAACTGTTTTTAATTGATTAAAACAATATTGCACTTTGATTAGCCATATTTCTTTCAGGTCAGACTTTTATAATTGCAACTTTGTCACAAAGAAGCCCAGCTACTAATCACCATATCAAAAATTGAGGCGCTGAGATATATGGGAGAGAGAATCTTTAAATGACCCTCAACCATTCCCTCACAGTTTATCTTACAGAATTGTTGGGTGAATATATAGAAATAGCACTTTGTGTACCATTATGGCCACATTGAAAAAAATGGAGAATTAAAATTCATGTTAAGTTTCCAAGTTTCTTCCAAGTAGATGGATGGATAAATGCATTTCATAGTTGTTATAGCTCACCCAAATCAAAGGGCTGGAGAATGGGAGGGGGTTAGAAAATTTTAAGATGATAAAAGTAATGATAATACAACAAGTTATTTAAAATAGTAATTAATAAATGAGTAATTGCTTTCTCTTCTCCACGATAAGCACAATGGGGTTGATTGTTGGATGACCTAAAACTGCTTTTTAAGATTTTCTAGAAAAAACGGGAAGCTTTATGAATCTCTTGGGATAAGATGCTTCTTTTAATTTTAAGAAGTAATTGCTATTGGAGTATTTATTTAGGCAATTCAATAGACTGCTTGTCAAAAGATACGTATAAACTTATTATAGAACATCCCCCCAAAAAGCTGGTCATAGGTTTGAGATGAAATGGCAACCATAGGTCAATGTTTACAAGTTACATTTAGTAATCAGGCATAGTCTAACACCCTCCACATTCAAGTGAATGGCATAAAGTGATGTAATTGAAAGATAGATTAAAAATGTAGACATTTAAATTTTCTTTTTGGCTTTGTTTTGCTTTGCTTTTTGTATGTTTCACATGATTGGAATATAAAATAAGTATATTAAGCCTTAATGAATTGTTGGAAGAAATGTCCATCTGGGTTCAATTCCAAGTAGGAAGAAAGACACTGGAAACATGGAGACTGTTTGGAACAATGCTTTAATGGTGGACAGGACCACATGGTTTGAGGTCCTGGGCAAAAAACAGCACATGGGTGAGAGAGGAAGAGAGATTTTATACCCTTTCTTGGGCCCTGCCTTGGAGCTTCCTGTTCCTGTGTAAGAAATGTACTCTGATTGGTTGTCAGACTCCCATGGGGCCATGCAGGGGTAACTTTGTAGGTTGTTTGGAGTCCCAGGCCTGGAAGTAGGAGGGCTAATCCTATCATGTCCTGAGGGCCATGTGTTTTGTGTTGTAGATAAGATGGCCCAGCCTTTGTCATATAGATAGATTGGCACCAAAATATCTG